ATCTGCGGACTTCAACTCCCAGACTCCCATTGCTGGTTGAGGAATTCTGGGAGTTGAAGTCCACAGATCTTCAAGTTGCCAAGGTTGGATGGATACCCCTGTTCTTAAGTGTCCTTAATAGCAATTTGGACTTCAGTCAGGGGTGGGCTTCAAAAATTTTAGCCCTGTTGCTGGGTGGGCGTAGTTTAGTTGGCCTCCTGCTCCCCGGTAGGGAGGCGTTTCTGCTGCGGGTTTGGACCAGTTTGGGCGAACTGGTAATTGCGACCTGCGGGTGGCCGCCCCAGCGCTATGCCGTCCTATTTAGCAGCATTTTTTAAGCTGCATGCATGCAAGTGCGTGTGCAAGCAAAGCAAATATGCAGAAGGCTGCATGCATGCATGCGCGGAAGTTGTGTGTGCAAGTGAAGCGAGTTCACATTTTCGATGTTGGGCAAACCAGTTAATTCATGCGCTATCCACCTCTGTTTTCAACTGCTAGGTGGGCAGGAGTTGGGGCAAGTAATGGGAGCTTACCCCATCACATGACGCTCGGGTCTCGAACCCCGGCTGTCAGCTTTCCCGTTGACAAGCTCAGTGTCTTTAATCATGTCCCCTAGGTTAAAAGCAGGCTGGAAATCACAGTAACCATGAGTTCTAGTCCCACCTTAGTCACAAAAGAATCAGAAAATGCTTTGTAGCCTTTTCCAAATGGCATACTTCATATCTAAAAGAGTGGTGCAGTGGCTCTCTCGCCTCACAATTAGGAGGCTGTGAGTTCGATCCTAGGTAGAGGCAGATATTTTTCTCTCTGGGCACAATGAGAACAGATCTGCTTAAAAAACACTCCGCATTGGCGACAGGAAGGACATCTGGCCAGTAAGCACTCAGCTCCATTCAGTTGCCCAGATTCCACCCCGCAAGGGATTATGGGATCATTAAATACTTTGTATCTAAAACCTCCAAGCAACGCTCCAAAGGATGAAAAGATCCGTTTCAAACTGATCACGAAATACAGCACATTTTAAAAAAGAAATGACTGTCCAAACGCTGCTTGGATTTATTTTAAACCTATTAAATCAGTTCAAACTTTATTATTGCTTAAATAATCGGCAGTAGAATCATTTCCAAGAGGAAAAAAAAGGAGTTAAAACACACCTGAGCTGCAAGAATTCGTGTAAACACTAGAGGGCAGCAAGGAGATAGAACTCTTCTTTTGTCACCATCTAGTGGTTATTCCTGATTTTTGTAACGGCATACAGGCAGTCCTTGACTTACGACCACAATTGGGCCTAGAATTTCCGTGGCTAAGCAAGGCAGTTGTTAAATGGGGTCCCACCCATTTTTATCTTTTTCACCATAGCGATGAAATGAATCACACGATCGTTAAAGTGAATCCAGCTTCCTTCACTGACTTTGCTTGTTGGAAGCTGGCTGGGAAAGTCGGAAAAAGTGATCACATGACCCAGAGCACTGCAACCATCATAAAGATATATGCTGGTTGTCAAGCACCCAATTTTTTGATCACGTGACTGTGGGGAATGCTACAACCCTTGTGTAAAGACCAGCCGTTAAGTCACTTTTTTCCAGTGCCGTTGTAAGTTCGATGGGTTGCTAAGCCATGGTTCTAAGTTGAGGACTACCTGTACCGTTAACACGGATATAAAACAATTCCTTATTCCATATCATGGAAAATGTAATTGTTAAAAACTGTCAGCCTCACATTAGCAGCTTTGTAGGCAGGCCCAATAAAAAGGGAGAAAGAGACTGGTCAATTTCACTCTCATTTCCCTCTGCTTGGACCATTTCCACACCAGAAACTACACACGGAAGCTCCTGTTCAATCCCAGCTGTGTTTTTAAATGGAATCCAGTGTGGCGGGTGTATCCGTCCAGCTCAGGGGTGTCAAACTCAAGGCCCGGGGTCCGGATCTGGCCAGCAGGGTGCTTAGATCTGGCTCATGGGAACACCCTGGAAAGGACCTGTCCATGGTGCCTCTGCCAGCGAAAATGGAGCTTGGGAGGGCCACTGCAGTGGTGGGTTCCTCCCGGTTCGGCTGAGCCGGTAGTGGTGTTATGTCACTGAACTGGTTCTCCCTCCCCCCCACCCCCACCCGTTATTCTCACCTTTTATTTGGTCCCACCCCCCAATCTATTGCTGCCTCCTGAGTCCCAGCTGATGGCTAGAGGGAAAAAAACTGTTTAAACTCTTGCCGTGGGGCTTCAAAGGGCGTCCTACAGCTGATCAGTGTTAAAAGCAAACAAATGAGTCGGGTCGTAAGTGCGAGGACTGGTCGTAAGTGCGAGGACCTTCCAGAAATGACTCTGACCAGCTAGCCACGCCCACCTAGTCACATGACCTCCAAGCCACACCCACAATAAGCCACGCCCACAGAACCGGTAGTAAAAAAAATTAGAACCCACCCCTGGGCCATGGGTAGCCTGTTCTGACCTAGGCTCCCCAAGAGCATGAAGCAGACTCCTTGTCCTGACAAAAAAACTCTTTAAGTTACTGTGAATTCCTCCCATTCACATCCAGCAAAGTCTTTCAAGGGAGGAATTTACAGTCACAGACCTTATCTGGCTTGGGGAGCTGCCAGGCTGACATCTTCAAAACTTGGCAAGAAGTCTCAGAGAGTCACGAACCAATTAAGCGAACTAATTGTCTCCTGCAAACTCCCCTCCCCTCTTTATTCCCTATGGGGGGGGGCATTCGCCATCCACCTGTGGCTTTACTCCTGAGTTGACCCTTGTTCCTTAGCTGTTCCCTTCTCCTGGCAGCTTGCACATGCATACTGGGAACAGGCTCCAGCTGCTCTTCTGCCCCACTGATGTCCGACTCTGAAGGCAGCTGACATCAGACGGCCCTGACCCCATCTCTGCCTCCGACACAAAGCACTCATCAGAGCCTTCCCCAGACTCCAGGACTGGCCCATGTTCCTCCCCAACCTCCTCAGTGTCTGAGTCTGCACAAGCTCCGCTGGCTGCTGGCAGGCCACAACATAGCCCTCCCAAGCTGAGTTTTTGCTGGCAGAGGGTTGCAGGAGGCCATCGCAGCTGAAAATGGAGCTTGGGAGCCCATTTTCACTGGCAAAGTGCTTGGGCCACCACAGGAGCTCCCGACACAAGTGATGTCAAGCTGGCCACACACACCTTGCCCCTCCCCCCAAAGGTCAAACACAACCCTGCTGCGGCCCTCAATGAAATTGAGTTTGACACCCCTGGTCCAGCTCAATGCAAGACCATCCCAGCAATTACCCTGCGGGGCAGGGGGTGGGCAATGCTGGCTCAGGAATTCTGGGAATTGAAGTCCACAGGTCATAATGAGGCTGTAGTAGCCCAACCCCTGCTGAAGGGGGACCGATGCAGCTGCTGATCTCCTTCCCTCTTTTAAGGACCTGAGGACAGAAGGCATCTCCAGTTGAAGTGCTGAGGTCAGGAGATAATGGGACTGAATCTCTCCCTCCCGGTCAAAGAGGAAACTTCAGTATTATGAACAGAAGATCTGGTTTTGCTGTTGTTCGGGTTACGCTATAGCAGAGTTTAAAATTAAAAAAATTAAAACCGGCTCAGCTGCTGAACACAGAAGTCAGTTCAGAACAGAAGGCAGAAGTCAATTCTGGATGCAAAAAGCTGTTTTTTTTTTCAAGGTCCAAATTTTTGACTAGTTTTGTTAGGTGGTGTAAACCACCTATAGATTTATAGAGAGAGACAGCCTGGAGGAAGGTTTGTCTCAGCCATTAAGGAAACCCCAGTTTAGATCAGAAAATCAGAACAAGGTCTGAACATTCCCCCATCTTAATTCTCTTGGGTATAAGTAGCAAGAAGAGAGAGACTCCTGTCAAGCTATCACGATTATGTTACAATACCCTTTAAGGTAGTGATTGTTGTGGTGTATTTCCTAATAGCAATAGCACTTAAGACTTATATACCGCTTCACAGTGCTTTTACAGCCCTCTCTAAGCAGTTTACAGAGTCAGCCTATTGCCCCCAACAATCTGGGTCCTCATTTTACCTACCTTAGAAAGGATGGAAGGCTGAGTTAACCTTGAGCCTGGTGAGATTTGAACTGCCAAATTGCAGGCAGCTGGCAGTCAGCAGAAGTAGCCCTGCAGTACTGCACTCTAACCACTGCGCCACCGAGGCTCATCTAGCCAATCTGAAGGGTTGGCACAAATGGACACTGTTGCCATATGTTCTTTGCTCTATAAATGATTTTTGCACGCAGTATGGCACTCTGGAACTAAATACCCTGCAGGCAAATCAAATCCATGTTTTGCCTTTTAAAACTAAAATAACCCTCTTCCTCCTTGGCAGATTTTTCCTTTTCATACCAGGGCTGTAACAGATGAACGAAACGTGATGGACTCTAGAAGGGAGTTGTAGCCAAAGTGCTCTGAGAGACATGAATTTTCCCCATAGTGCCCAAAAGTTAATTAAGGATGTATTCATTAAATAAATAGGATTGCGCCCCTATACCAGGGATCTGCAACCTTAAACACGCAGAGTGATTTGGAACCGTTTCCCACAGGAAAAAAAAAAACACCAGGAGCCACAAAACCTGAGTGGGCGTGGCCAACTCCACATCACTCATTCCCACCGAGTCACATGACTCCCCCTAGCCACGCCTATCCAGCCAGTCATTAGGGCAGAGAACCGGTTGTTAAAAAACACCGGGAACCACAAAATCTTTTTCTCTCTCTCTCTCTCCCTCTCTGTATCTCTCTCTGTCTCTCTCTCCCTCCCCTAATCTCTCTCTGTATCTATGTCTCTCTCCCACTTCTCTCTGTATCTCTTGGATTTCCAAGGCCAGGCGAGGAATGACTGGGAGGGGAGGGCGAGGAGTGAAGCCAGCCAGTGATGGGACAGGGAGCTGCAGCAGAGGACCCAAAAAGCCGCGTGCGGCTCCAGAGCTGCAGGTTGCTGACACCAGCCCTATACTTTCTGCAGACTTTCTGAGGTGGGAAGGAGCAATGGGCGATCCCTATGTGAGACATAGATATATCATCAAGGAGGAAAGGGATCATAAGAGAAAGCAACATATTTTGAAATTGGTGGAACCTTGTGACTTGGGTGTGCGGAACTGCATTAGAACTGCAAATTCAATCCATATTTTTTTTTTCTTTCCCTGAAGGCCACAAGACAACCAAACTCTTCCACGTTGACCACGGAGGTGTCTCCGGGTCCCTCTCACGTTCACATGTTGGTGTACATGTCATTGATCAAGTAGTCCAGCCTGGTGTAGCGCTGTGGCTGACGCGAGCAGAACATTTTCCCCCCTATCAGCACCACCGCCAAGAAAAAAAACAGCACCCCGAAAAACAAGGCGGCAAGGAGGACGCTTTGGTCACTCAGCAGGGAGAAATCGTTCCCGGCTGGGCTGCCATCAAGGCTGAAGCCTTCCAAACTAAGTCGTCCGTCATCACTAAGGTGGGAGCCCCGAGGAGAAGACGACGGAGTAGGCAGGGCGGATGACGATGAACTGAAACGGTGAAGATCAGTTTCGGAAGGAAGCGTTGGTTTGGGATGAGGGCCCTTGCTTGGCTGGAGAGTGGCCGCCTCTGTCTTTCTGGCATAAGGCACAGGAGTAGCGACGTGGCTAGGACGACTATGAATGGCTGCAGTCCTGCTGGTCCAAGAGTCAAGGGTGGCGAGGGATAGTTTAACAGGAGTAGGTCGTTGGATGGTGCTAGCAGTACTGTTGTTTTCAGGCACCATTGAAGAACCCAAAGTCTCGACTTCATCTGTCCTTCCAGCTTTGGGATGCTGGGAGGATCCATCTACTTTCTCTAAGGGATGATCTGAAGGGCCAAAGATTTCCTCTTTCGTAGAAGTCTTGGGCAAAGAATCCGGTCTACCCAGTGGCCTTGCAAGACCAAACCCAGCTGCTTGTGGGGACGCTGTTCTGTTCACTGTAAAATGAGGGACTTTCTTTAAGGAAGGAGCTGGTTTGGGTATCTGTTTGCCTAAAAAAGAAAAGAAAAGGAAGACAGATGATTCTCTAAAGGTAAAGGTTCCCCTTGCACATACATGCTAGTCGTTCCCGACTCTAGGGGGCGGTGCTCATCTCCATTTTAAAGCTGAAGAGCCAGCGCTGTCTGAAGACGTCTCCGTGGTCATGTGGCTGGCATGACTCAATGCCAAAGGCGCACGGAACACTGCTACCTTCCCACCAAAAGTGGTCCCTATTTTTCTACTTGCATTTTTTATGTGCTTTCGAATTACTAGGTTGGCAGAAGCTGGAACAAGTAACGGGAGCTCACCCCGTTATGCAGCGCTAGGGATTCGAACCGCTGAACTACCGACTTTTAGATCGACAAGCTCAGTGTCTTAGCCACTGAGCCACCTATGATGATTCTCTATACCTCAGCAAAAAAAAACCCTCAATACAGATCAGGAAGTCATCACGAATGGGCTTTAAACTATTACAAGATTATTCCCATGAATGTCTTAAGAGTAGGAAATTTGCAGGCTCAACTCTGTTTCTTCATGTGAAAGTAAAGCCATACCTAGCTCAAAAAATGAATCTGAAAGTGGTTTATCTTGACAGCCATTTTTCCAAAAATCTGAAGGCTGTAGATTTTAGGCAGGTGAGTTAGAAATGCCTGAAACCACAAAATCTCTTAGAATATTTATTTCTCTTTGCAGAATCTCCCTGGTGGTTGGTTGGTTCGTGAATCAAGGATTACAACTGGGAGTCACACATTTGCTGAAACTTGCTGTTGTATTTGGAAGATTTTAGTAGTTAAGGTAGAAACCTGGCACATCAGTCCTGGGGAAGAGGAATCCTCCACCCAAATTCAATTTTAGCACTAATAGGCGCTAAACAATCATTCGTCAATTTAAGAAGGAATTGTGATAAAGATGAGATTCTTTACAATTACGTTTATGGTTTATATTCTATTCAAAGAATCTATCCTGAGACTCTTCAAGAACAGATCCTTTATTTGTGCCTTTAAGTACCGTATTTTTCGGACTATAAGACACACCCGAGTATAAGACGTACCAAGATTTAGAAGAGGAAAAGAAGAAAAAAAAAGTTTTTGCCTTCCCCGGTCCCCAGGAGCATTCTGCAGGCCTCCCAAACGCTTTGCGCGTCCCGTTTTTGCGAAAAACGGGATGCACAGAGGGTTTGGGAGGCCTGCAGAGTGCTCCTGGGGGCTGGGGAGGGCAAAAACACAACGCATGGGGGGGGGTTGGGAGGCCAAAAACGGGCCCATTTTTTGTATCTTATACTCCGAAAAGTATGGTATACGGCTTGCTTTGCAGAAAAAGAACAGATCTGTGGATAAAAACTAAATATCACCATTGAGTAAGAATTGTTGAGTAAGAATGCCATTGGCTTAAAATAGTCACTTATTCATTACATGGTATGATGGAATGTAGTCCGGAATATATATATAGTTAGCATATGAATAGAATAATAACTGGAAAAAAAACCATGCTTATTTTCCCATGATATCACCACAGGCTCAATTTTGGGAAAAACTATTTTTCTGGAGCGTGAGAGAGAAAAGGATTCCATTTCTTTATATCAACATATGCTACTTTCCATTTTTTTTGAAGGGAGGTCGGCAAAGTTTTACTTATGAAATCTTTTAAAGCAAGGTTACACTGAAAACTGTTTGGAGTCTCTAATGGAGCTCTTTTTCAAGTACGTTAAGAGTTTCCAGCAAATGCCTAGTTGAAACTGGTCGATCAGTGGATTTCCATTCATTTACCTTCTATTATTCTGTACGTGACCAGTCCTGACGCTGGTTTTACAGGACAGGTTTCTTGGGCGGGGAAATAAAACTGATAGCAATTTGGAGAGCTGCTTTTCATTTTGGTGTTAAAGATCGCATAGTTGCATGTCTTATCACCTAGAAAACAGAGAAACAGAGAAAACATATCTTAACAGCAAGTTTTGGCCTACCTGCCCTATGATCATCTAGTAATTCCATGCGAGTGAAGAGAAGGGAGTTCTCCAAAATAATGACAACCATAAATACCGTATTTTTTGGAATATAAGACGCTCCGGTCTATAAGACGCACCTAGTTTTTGGGGAGGAAAACCAGAAAAAAAAAAATCTGCCTCTGCCTCCTAGCATTCATCAGTTTGCCGCAGCCCAGTTGCTGCCGCCACCCATTCACCGCCACTGCCCAGTTGCTGCAGCCACCGCTGCCCGTTCGCTGCCGCAGTGGCCCATTCGCCACTGCCGCCACCACCCATTCTAGAACAGCTGATCGGCACTGCACCAACCCCCCTCTTTCCCTCGCTGCAATATTCGCTGTATAAGAAGCACAGACATTTCCACCCACTTTTTTTGAGGGGGGGGGGCGCTTGGTGAGCCTTGGTGGCGCAGCAGACTAAAGTGCTGTTAAGTAGCACCAGCTGCCTGCAATTACTGCAAGTTCAAATCTCACCAGGCTCAAGGTTGACTCGAGGTAGGTAAAATGAGGACCCGGATTGTGGGGGCAATAAGCTTTGTATAAAAAAGAACACTGCTTTGGGGGGGGAGGGCAAAGCCCTACTAAGCAGGTATATACAAAAGTATGAAGGCTATTGCTTAATGCATTGTAAGCCGCCCTGGGTCTCCGGAGAAGGGCGGCATATAAATCGAACCAATAAATAAATAAACTGTGTTTTATACTCCGAAAAATCTGGTAATATAGAGGACTCCACCGCCACCTCATAAGCCCCAGATATATTTAACCTGTGCAGGATTGTCAGAATTGTCCTTGTGTCCATCACAGGGTGGATTCGATTTAAATCATGGTTTAAATCACTAGTAAAAAGGCTTGATTTAAATCAACTCGATTTAAATCATAATTGTTAAAGAGCAACTGTCACCTCTGTCCTGCAGCGGCTCCTCCCTCTGACTCACTGTTTGCTTGCTTTTTTTTTTTTGCTTTTTAATTTATATGCCGACCTTCTCCGGAGACTCAGGGCGGCTTACAATGCGTTAAGCAATAGCCTTCAGACTTTTGTATATATTTATACAAAGTCAGCTTATTGCCCCCACAATCTGGGTCCTCATTTCACCTACCTCGAAAGGATGGAAGGCTGAGTCAACCTTGAGCCTGGTGAGATTTGAACTTGCAGTAATTGCAGGCAGCTGGTGTTACTTAACAGCACTTTAGTCCACTGTACTACAGGCTCTTTGACTCACCAACAGTCCCATTCACTTTAATGGGACGGCTGATGATGCGGCAGTGACACAACAAGTTGAGGGACAGGTGAGTGGATGCCCGCTAGCAGGCGCTGCCACGAGGGATCTGAAATGACAGGTGCTCTTTAAATGTAAGAACACATTCTTGCTGTTAGTTAGAATCTTTAATATTATTGTTTGCAAACAAAATGAAGGTTTCCTATTTAGGGTGCATATTATCTCAGCTTGCAGAGTTTGCATTCATTGAATGAGTTTACCAAAAATGTAAATATTGTAGAATATACGGCCTCATGCCACCTAATTAGTTTATTCATGCTGAATAAACTAAATTATTAATGTGTCTTAAATAGAAAACTATCTTTAGATAGATTTTTACTTCAAAAGCATTTTATTACAATAAATATGATAAAAATAAAAAAAAATCAAATTAAAAAAAAAAACCATTGATTTTTATCCACCCTGGTTCATCAGCATGTTTGTTGGACGTTCACTCCTGCCTACCTATACAGGAAGTCCTTGTTTAGTGACTGCCTTATTGTGTGGCCATTTGGAGTTTTACCAGGGTGACAAAAAAGTAACTTTACCACCAATCTTTGCATTTACATCTTCACCTCCAGAGGTCTATAAAGCAAAGGAAAAGTTGAAGGAAGATTGTAAAAGCACAGGCGCAGTCTTACTTAATGACCACTTTAACGTCCGAGTTGTTGGTCCCCACTGTGGTCACTGATTGAGGACTACCTGCAATTCCAACTGTTATAGAGAAAGGGATGCAGGAAGTAGTCTTCCTTTCTTCTCACTGATTTTTTTGTTTAAAAACAAACATGTTCTTAACTCGACCTCAAATCTGTCGCTCTTACCTGCTATTTTTTCTGAGCAGCAAGTCTCCACACAGGCTTCCCAAGATGGTGCATAGATCGGATCTGTCCCTCTGATGCCTTTGGAAAAGGCTGCTGGGATATCGATCGTCATGTCTTCCATCTTCTCTGAGGAACACTTTTGGGTCTGGGATGGTTTTACCGCGACCAAAGCCAGCACTGCTGATACCCAGGCCAAGCACAGTGTGGTCTGGACAGCCATTTCTTCCTCTCAGAGTGATGGGCTCTGGAAAGGTATTTTCATTCACACCTATAGAATTTTTCAAGCCCAGGGTACAGCTTTCCAAGATGGCCGCATTCCTTGAAATCCTTCAGCTAAGAAAAAAGAAGATTATAACAGGGTTAAAAGAACTGTAGAAGGAATTTCCAGTAGTGAAACAAGCACATTTCAAATCATGAGTCAAAAGACTAGTTTTACCTGTCACAAAACAGTTCAGTATGGAATGACTAATTGGGATGTAAAGGAACTTTACGTTGATAAGAAAGCAGCTTCGGGGTGGGGGGGGAAGGAAAGCAAATACCAAAGCAGTGAGACAAGTTATGCTTTTCTCAAAGCCCTGGGATATATCAAGAGGCTTGGGGTGATCCCAAATATGAAGAAAGAAACAGCATCTTGGGAAAACAACGGGAAGCCCATTAATGTTGGCCCAACATTAAGAAAAAATGTTCTCAGAACTTTGAAGAGAAAAAGATCCCTGTGGCTTATAGGAGGAGATATCCTGACAGCAAGAAAAAAAGGTAGAGAATGCGCCTTGAGTGAAAAGGACATTTGATGAATGAACACAGATTTCTAGCATAAAGCAAGAAGTACATACAGATTTGTCAATTATGCACATCAACAAAAGGAGAAATAGAGAAACTAAAGGAGTGCGGTATGCCACTCAAGAGTCACTTTCATGTGGGTGGCTACACAAATATGATAAATACCTAAAATAAAGACATCTTTTAAGTAGACCAGAGGACCTCCATGAAAATGAAATGAAGGAATGAGCAAGAATAACCATTAAAGGTATCTGGTTGAGCTTGAGATAAAAGAAAAGGACAATCTACCCTGAAGCTTTTAATAAACAGGATTATTAAAAGTGTAAAAACAAAAATAAACAAAAATGAACAAACACGAACATTTGCAAAAAAAAAAAAGAAAAAAAAAGACTCAATTAGAAAATGAGGCATGGCAAGCAATTAGCCAGCTGGTCAATAGGAAAGCTTCAATCCCAAATGAAATACCGTATTTTTCAGAGTATAAGACATACCGGAATATAAGACGCACCTTAGTTTTGGGGGAGGAAAATGGGGAAAAAAAATTCTGCCTACCAGGTATTCATCTGGCTAGTCCTTAGCCTGGTCAGCTTCAGCACATTAGTTTGTTTGCTGGTTTTGAGGTTGAGGCTAGTTGGGGCTGAAAAACAGCTTCAAAAGCTCAGCTGATTGTTGGCAGGTGAAAGTGGAAGAGATAAGAGAAGGCAGCAGTTGTTCCGGGTAGCCATTTTGAGCATCGCATGGGGTCACGTTCGGAGTATAAAATGCACCCAAATTTTCAGCCTCTTTTAGGAGGGAAAAAAGTGGTCTTATACTCCGAAAAATACGGTATCCATTGTTTAAAGGGTAGCAAAAGTACTAACAGCAATATATCAACCAATCTGGATAAGTTTGTACGCTCAGAGATTGGAAAATATATAACAACCTAAAATGTGTAAATGTTGAATCACTTGCACAAGTTTATCGCACAAATATTTGCTTTAAAACTTTACAGGGAAAAAAAAAGTCAAATGAACAGGCAGGCAAAGGCCGAAGGACAGAAGTTCAGGTAACTATCACAAAATGGATAATGGAGAGAAGAACATGGACCATCCTGTCAGTGTCAAGCAACCGGTTTAGTAAATTCACAATGGGGAGTGTAAATGACTCATAATTTTCTTCTCAGGGGCTCCAACTTAATAAAAGAGAACCAGGATGTTGGAGAAGTAAACAGGAGACTAAAGAGGAAGGAATGATAATTTAAACAAAATATAAAGGATAAGAACAAAGACCAGAATATTTAGAGCAGTGTTCTTTTTAGAGGTAATATACTATCATGAAAGTTTGACAATGAGAGAAAGAAAGAGGATTGACACATTAAGTCATCTGGAGACTACTATGAAGTACAACAAAGACCCATCGATCAGTTGTGGACCAAATAAATAAAGGCTCGCTGCTTAGCTGACATAACAATCAGTCAACAAAAGATCGACAAACAAAAACTCACATATTTTGGGCATGTGAGGCAAGTGGGTGAGGGACTAGAAAAAAAAAACCCAGGAGGCATTAAAGTTACCGGTGAATGGGTGCGATCCAAGAGATTACAGAACTGTTCTTGGAAGAGTTACACGTTTTTTGCTGCAGGCAAGTCACAGCGAAAAGCTTTTGCCTGTAACAATCACTAAGAGTCAACTCAATGATGCGTAACTAAGTTGAGGCAAATCACTCCAATGCATAAACAGGGAGACATTTCCTCCTCACTGAAAGACCCACTGGCCTCCAACTTTGTAATTTATAGAGCCTGCCACTTAAAAAGGACATTTGAAAAGGAAAGAAAGGAGAAATAGCAAGCTGTGCAAAAAAACCTCTGAAGCATTTGGAATCCGTCATATATTCATTAGATACAAAAGTGTTCATCCACCAGTGGTTAGAATGCAGTAAGGTAAAGGTTCCCCTTGCACACATGTGCTAGTTGTTCCCGACTCTAGGGGGCGGTGCTCATCTCCGTTTCAAAGCCGGAGAGCCAGCGCTGTCCGAAGACGTCTCCGTGGTCATGTGGCTGGCATGACTAAACACCAAGAGTGCACGGAACACTGTTACCTTCCCACCAAAGTGGTCTCTGTTTTTCTACTTGCATTTTTACAGGCTTTCGAACTGCTAGGTTGGCAGAAGCTGGGACAAGCAACGAGAGCTCACCCCGTTATGCAGCACTAGGGATTCGAACCACCGAACTTTTGATTGACAAGCATAGCATCTTGGCCACTGAACCACCGCGTCCCTAGAGTGCGGTATTGCAGGCTAATTCTGCCAACCGACCGCAGTTCGATTGTCACCAGGCTTTGAGGTTGACTCAGCCTTCCATCCTTCCGAGGTCGGTAAAACTGGTGCTGGTGATTACCAATAAAGGTGCTGGTGATTACCTATAAAGCCTTACATGGCCTAGGTCCGCGCTCCCACAGGGAGGGCCTACTCAGGGTGCCGTCGGCCAGACAGTATCGGCTGGCGACTCCCAGGTAGAGAGCTTTCTCTGTGGGCACACCCGCCCTTTGGAATCAACTCCCTCTGGAGCTCCGGGTGGCTGAAAACTTGGCTACTTCACCTGGCCGCATTGGACTGATGGGGGTTTTAATCTGGGTTTTATTGAATTTCTAAATTTTAACTTGGACTTCCGTTTTAACGGTTTGTCTGTTCTGTTTTAATTGTGGTGAGCCGCCCTGAGTCCTGTGGAGATAGGGTGGCATACAAGTCCCAACAAACAAACAAATAAATAAAACGAAAAACCCAGATTGTTGGCGGAGCAATCGGCTGACTCACTCTGTAAACCCGCTTACAGAGGGTTGTAAAAGCCCTGTGAAGCGGTACACAAGTCTTAAGTGCTAGTGCCATTATTATATTGCTAATATAGCAATATTGCGACTATTAAGTGCTATTGGTATTATCGAGCCACCCCAACCCGAGCCACCAAGCGGAAATTCCCAATCCGCTGCAAATGGGAGACTCTGGTTGGACAGGTTTGCCCAGTATGACTCACGAAGGCGGCCAAAGAAGGGGAGGTAGGAGAGGCAGCAAAGGGTGTGTGTGTGTGCGTGTGCGAATGACACCCTTTTGTTGCTGCGGAGAGCCCCCCCCCCCCCCCCAACACCCCCCGCGGCGCCCCCCCCCCCCCCCCCCCCCCCCCCCCCCCCCCCCCCCCCCTCCAATGCTTCCCCCCCCATGGCCCAATGACCCCTTGCTGCCCCCCACAGCTCCCCTCTTGCCCCCTCCCCGCCTCCAATGCTTCCCCCCCCATGGCCCAATGACCCCTTGCTGCCCCCCACAGCTCCCCTCTAACCCCCTCTTGCCCCCTCCCCGCCTCCAATGCTTCCCCCCCCCATGGCCCAATGACCCCTTGCTGCCCCCCACAGCTCCCCCTCTAACCCCCTCTTGCCCCCTCCCCGCCTCCAATGCTTCCCCCCCCATGGCCCAATGACCCCTTGCTGCCCCCCACAGCTCCCCTCTAACCCCCTCTTGCCCCCTCCCCGCCTCCAATGCTTCCCCCCCCATGGCCCAATGACCCCTTGCTGCCCGCCCCCCACAGCTCCCCTCTAACCCCCTCTTGCCCCCTCCCCGCCTCCAATGCTTCCCCCCCCATGGCCCAATGACCCCTTGCTGCCCCCCACAGCTCCCCTCTAACCCCCTCTTGCCCCCCTCCCCGCCTCCAATGCTTCCCCCCCCATGGCCCAATGACCCCTTGCTGCCCCCCACAGCTCCCCTCTAACCCCCTCTTGCCCCCCCTCCCCGCCTCCAATGCTTCCCCCCCATGGCCCAATGACCCCTTGCTGCCCCCACAGCTCCCCTCTAACCCCCTCTTGCCCCCTCCCCGCCTCCAATGCTTCCCCCCCCATGGCCCAATGACCCCTTGCTGCCCCCCACAGCTGCTCCCCTCTAACCCCCTCTTGCCCCCTCCCCGCCTCCAATGCTTCCCCCCCCATGGCCCAATGACCCCTTGCTGCCCCCCACAGCTCCCCTCTAACCCCCTCTTGCCCCCTCCCCGCCTCCAATGCTTCCCCCCCCATGGCCCAATGACCCCTTGCTGCCCCCCACAGCTCCCCTCTAACCCCCCTTTGCTTGCCCCCCTCTCCCCACCCTCCAATGCTTCCCCCCCATGGCCCAATGACCCCTTGCTGCCCCCCACAGCTCCCCTCTAACCCCCGCTTGCCCCCTCCCCTCCTCCAATGCTTCCCCCCCCATGGCCCAATGACCCCTTGCTGCCCCCCACAGCTCCCCTCTAACCCCCCGCTTGCCCCCTCCCCTCCTCCAATGCTTCCCCCCCATGGCCCAATGACCCCTTGCTGCCCCCCACAGCTCCCCTCTAACCCCCCCTTGCCCCCTCCCTTCTCCTCCAATGCTTCCCCCCCCATGCCTTCTCCTGCCCCTTCCTATCCTTATGTCCCCGGCTCACCCCCAGCGATGTTATTATTTACCGCGGCTCCTTCCTCCGGCCGGGACGGGACCGGGCTGATGAGGCACCCATCCTCCAGCCGGAGGGGAAGATTTCTGGCTAAGCCCCGTGTGCAGAACCGGGGGAATCCCTGGAACACGAGCCCGGGTCGGTCCAGAAACCCGGCAGCGGATGCGACGTTCTGCTTTTGCAAGAAAAAAAAAAAAAAGGAGGCCCGTTTCCTTTTTTGAACGGAGCCCAACCGTTACGCAGAGCCGACCCAGCCACGTAACGGGAGCGGATGCAACCCCGCTTCCTGAACAAGCAGCGCGCTTCCGGACAGGAAGCGGAAGCGCCGGGCACGAGGGGGGCGTGGTTAGAACGCTCAGGGAGAGAGAGAGTACTCTTTCCGGCCACCACCCCTCCCCACTCGGCACGCGCAGACGCCTCCGTGTCGCGGGGAGATGACGTAAGAGCCCCGCCGTTGCCTGGCGATGGGGTCCGAGCAGAGCGCCGAGGCTGAGGGCCGCCCTCACGACCCCGCGACAGGTGGGCGCTCCCGCGAGGGACGGAAAAGGCCTCTGAGGCCTGGATATCGAGTGAAGGGGGAGGTGGGGCGGCGTAGCTTTGCCTCCCCCTCTTTCTCCCCCTCGTTGTAGTCCGAAGCTCTCCTCTGCCCGCCACGGGGCGGTTCCCGCCTGCTCACCAGCGGCCTCCTCAGACCCCTCGTGCTGAAGAGCTGCGGGTAGAGAGAGAGAGGCCGAAGGCGAAGCTAGAAAAAACGGGAGTAGTCTGCAGCAGTGTGGTTCAATCTCGGCAATTTTTTGAGGTATGTCCCAAAGGTGCTTCCCCCTCCCCACCCCCACCCCACAAGAGGCAACTGTACTTTTTTGTTTTTTTTTCTCTTGAAGACGTTTCGCTTCTCATCCAAGAAGCTTCTTCAGCTCTGACAGGATGGTGGGGAATGGGAGGGTTTATATTCCTTTGCAGACAGCTGGTCACTTTGCATCCTTTCAGAGAATCTTTGAGGCCACTTCAGGGGGGAAACCCAGCAAGTTCTGACAGGTTCTGGAGAACCGGTAGCAGAAATTTTGAGCAGTTCTGAGAACCGGCAAATACCACCTGTGGCTGGCCCCAGAGTGGGGTGGGAATGGAGATTTTGCAATATCCTTCCCCCAGGAGTGGGGAGGGAATGGGGATTTTGCAGTATCCTTCTCCTGCCATGCCCACCATGCCACGCCCACAGAACTAAAAAAAAATTGAATTTCACCACTGGGCCACTTGGAGGTTTATCTGTGTCCTCAGGGTCACCTGAGTGGTGCAAATGGGTGTGGAGCCTTCTTGGAACTGCTGAAAGGACCATCATCTATCTCCAGTCTACAACACAGTCCTTTCAACAGTTCCAAGAAGGCTCCACACCCACTTGCAGCACTCAAGGGACCCCAAGGACACAGATAAACCTCCAAGTGGCCTCAAAGACACTCTGAAAGGATGCAGTTGATTAGCTGTCTGCAAAGAACATAAATCCTTCCATTCCTCGCCATCCTGTCAGAGCTGAAGAAGTTCTTGGATGAGAAGCGAAACGTCTTCAAAGAAAAACTAGAAAGTACAGTTGCTTCTTGGGGGGGGGGGAAAGCACCTTTGGGACAACCATGAACTGAATGACTGAGAATCTCCATAGACTTTCAGAGGTATGGACTTCAGCTCCCAGAATTCCCTAGCCAGCTATACTAGGAAATTCTGGAATTGAAGTCCAAACAAATCGAAGCTGCTGAGATTGAGAAACGCTACAGTGAAGTTTCGAGCCATTGGATTATGAAATGAAAAATGTATATTTCCCATGAATTATTTTATTCATAGGCCTCGTTTTGGCCCATGGTTGTTTCTGCTTTGCTTTTATATATATATATATAGTAATGCTAGATTTAAAGAGCCACTTTAATGGTTAAGACATTAGGCTAGAAAGCGGGAGACCTACCATAAATTTGGAAGCCGGTGAGAAGCCATTCAATCTTTCTCAGCCCCAGGAAGGGCAAACCACTTCTGAAAAACCTTGCCATGAAAACTGCAGGGATTAATCCAGGTACTTGCCAAGAGTCAATATTGATTCAGACATCAAAAAGAAATGCTAGATGAGAAGTAATGGTGATGGTTTTGGCTTTGTGTCCCTTTTCTCAGCATCTCCTTCACCAGCCAAGCAACGAGCTAAAATGGATGATATTGTGGTGGTAGCCCAAGGGACTCAGGCATCACGGAATGTCAGCAGTGATCCAGATGTCATAAAACTGCAAGAAATCCCCACTTTCCAACCTCTGTTGAAAGGTAAGAATATCCAAACTTCAAACAACTTTGATAATAGTTTCTCCATCCCCAACACTGTTGATTCCTTGTGTTTCATAACATTTCTGTCTTTCCTCTTATTTAATCTCCTTTGTTTTGGGCTGTTAAGTTTTGAAAGCAGAAAAAGGAAATGAGCAAAACCAGTAATGGCCTCTCCTCTTCCTCTTCCTCATACAGTCCTTTAAGTATTTTGTAATTGAAGTTATAATACTGTTGGCTTTAAGACTTTTGTTCAGCAAAACAAAAATTATTATTTTTGAAAAATTGCCATCAAATTTATGTTTGTGTAGGTTTGAATGTGGAGCAGTCTTTTCTATGTAGCCATCTGCCACTTTTTTCCATGTAATGTGATGCTGAGGGCAGCATTAGCTCTTGCCTAAGGCTATTAAAGTCCCTTCTCCTTCCCAGGTGGGATGCTGTGGCTCAGTGGTTAAGATGCTGAGTCTTAGACTGTTAAAGGTCTACAGCTCGGCAGTTCGAACCTGAATGACACATGACAGAGTTACTGTCACTTGGCCCAGCTCCTCCTGCCAACCTAGTAGTTCGAAAGCATGCAAATGCAAGTAGGTACCATATATAAGCACGCAAGAAGGTAATCATGTTCTGTGTTTTGCTGCATGCTCTATGCTGGAGCATGATGTCATACCGCCCACATGACCATGGTAACATCTCGGGACAATGCTGGCTCTTTGGCTTAAGAAACGGAGGCTGAGCACCACCCTCTAAAGTTGGTCACGACTAGCGGGGTAAAACTCACAGGGATACTTTTACCTTTATGTCCTTCTCAGCATCATTTATAACTTCAAAAGTTACTCTTGTGACAGATGGCGTGAAGAGGCTAGTTACAGTACTGAAAGATGTAATTCTAGTTTTGCAGCCCTTTTTGTAGAGTGTAGCTACCATGTTGCAGTTTAAGGTAAAGTTTTTAAAAACACAGGAAAACTATCTTTCCATCAAACTGCCCATAGTTACTGTATCAGTGAGATGTGCAGCATAGAAATTTAATACATAAATACAGTTAATAAATATAAGTACTTCTGGGGGAAGACTGCATAAAACAGTTTTTCCAGATGCCTTGTTAACATGTATTGTCCTAAGCTCATTGCCAGCTTTATTTTTCATGCTGCTGCTATTACAATTAATAGCAATAGTATTAAATTTTGAAAATTTAAATTTGGCCCTTCTACTTTATAGTTTTGAACAAAGACAGTTGCTTGATAAGCTAATGTAGAAAAGTTTGAATAAATATTTTTGGGACTTAAGTCTTTGGCAGTGATTGGTTGAATTGCCTAAAGGTGGAAAGTGGGGGCAGGGAACAATTCTCAGCTGTTTTTGGTTGAGTTGTTTTTTAAGCATATGATGCTTTACATGTCACACCCAGTGCCACCCTTTGAAACAAATGCTACTTTTTCTGGGAATATGTTATAGCTGCAGAATACCAGGAATGGTTGCAAGTCTCTTAAAGGATTGAAATGTGATGCTATGTGAGGGATCCCTCATTTATATCCAAAAGTCAGGTTCCCCATTATGCTGGTGAGGCAGAGCTGGGAGTTGAAGTTCACACGGTATGAATCAGAACTTCTCTGGCCAGACATCTGGCACTGAGTAGGAGGCTCCTAATCTCTAGACTGAAAAGGTTATAGCTAAATTTCGGTCAACTTAAAAAAGCAGGAGGAAAAAATCTAAAATTAAAATAGCAATAGCAGTAGACTTATATACCGCTTTATAGCCCTCTAAGTGGTTTACAGAGTCAGCATATTGCCCCCAACAATCTGGGTCCTCATTTTACCGACCTCGGAAGGATGAAAGGCTGAATCAACCCTAAACCTGGTGAGATTTGAACTGCCAAACTGCAGGCGGTCGGCAGAAGTAGACTGCAGTACTGCACTCTAACCACTGTGCCCCCACGGCTCAGATGTGTCATTTGTGTTATATGTTCAGCAGTGTATGGTCTGCAATGAAGTGTCTGCCCTAGCTGAGCCGTGTCAGTGAATTTCTGCTACAAGCATATACAACATTGACTATAAGTGAATTTGACATTTAATTATGTCCCTGCTGATAAGGAAAGGGCTACAGATGCCCAAGTAATGAAACATGAAACTTAAACATTGACTCGAAACAACAAGCCAGGCATTTAATACAGAGCCAGTATTCATATATCTATCAAATTTAAATGGCTTTATCAATATCCTGACATCAATATCAAGGAATACATTTCTGGAAGTTGGGTGAAATCCTTTTACTATTCAAGGTTGATCCATGCTTGGTGAATTCTGTTCCTCATTCAATACTGTTGTCAGGTTAAGTGTCTGGATACCTTTGTTTGATTGTAAAAAGTGGAATGCTGTATTGGAGGCAAATATTGGGTGTTACTCTAACGCTTTGCTGAACATAGTTAAGGGCAGTTGCAAATGGGTGAGGCATCTCAACATCATCTATCCACCCACCCATATGAGCCTTTGACCCAGTGGTACTGCAGGCAAAACTGAAGTAGCCTTAACTGCATGAATGTCTGTTTTTGTTGTATGCCCATCCTGAGTCTCTTTCTCAAATGTTTCCATTACTGCTGGCAGAAGCCTATCTCGAGAAGCTGGTTTAAAGCAGAAAATGGCTTAATGTTACCCTTACCTCGTGGGGTTCCATCCGCCCTGATTATTATTTGGGTCACAGAAAACTTCATTTTGACATATGGTCCCAAAGCAACATTTTAGTATTGTGAGTGCAAGAAGTAATTGGAGGCTCCAAATACTTAATAAATAGCCGTTTGCCAACTTTGGTAAAATATTTGGACAAACATAAAATATTTTGCACATAAAAATTCTAAATCCAACAGGTGGCACTGTTTCCCACCTCTCTGATGCATAGCAGTTCTGTTGGAGAGCTTTAAAATAAAAAACCCCAAACTTAAGTGATCAGAAGCATTTCCTTAAAGGCTCGGAAAAGATCCTCAGAGCCCACAGATGAATGGGAAGGAGCAAGATTTGTAACATGGAGGGTACATTCCCTTTTATCCAAATGAAAAATTTGGCCTCATGCTCCTTTTAATGATGAGTGGAAATGAGGAAGATATAGTGGACTGGATTATTATATTCAACCATTTCTGAAGCTCAAAAAGATGTCAAAAAAATAAATGCTGTTTAACATTAGGCATGTTGGCACACACACATACACAAAATCCAAACTTCACATTATATATTAATGGGTTGAGAACAATCAAGGCCTGATTAGGAAAAGAATCTTATCATCCTAGTGATGAGTCGATGAAATTATCAATCTAGTTAACATGTTGGAAAAAAAACCCATCCCTGTAATCATCATTTATATCTTTGGTTGCTTTTTAAAAAAAAAACACTTCTTCGCATTTTTCTCAGTAAAAGAGATTAATGGACCCATTTTTACAGTACCTCCATTTTACCACCTGTTTCAAAAATTGAAATTGCATTTGCTATTTTATAGACATTAGGAATAAACATTGATGTTAAATTACAATCTGGACCCTTTTTATTAATCATGTATGTTTAGGGTTTTGTCTCTGTCCATCTCATTCTTGTCCTTTAAAAGCCAGCTCCAGCATGATGATCTGTTTTACATCCTCAGCAATGTAGGGAATGAAGTTCTGCTCTCTTTTTTTCAGGCTAGACAAGGCACCCCAAATAACTCAAGTCATGCAAGGTTGGGAGATAGTTTGATAGGAGGAAAGTGGAATTTTGGCACAGACCCCACAGGAAAGAGCGCAAGTATAAATTCAGAGCAGAGCAGTCCCAAGAATCTTGAGTACTGTTTAAGGCAGTGTTTTTCAACCATGGTAACATGAAAATGTGTGGACTTCAGCGGAATTCTGGGAGTTGAAGTCTTCACCTCTTATAGGTGCCAAGATTGAGAAACACTGGTTTAAGGGAACAGGATCCCAGAATAGCAAGAGGTCTTAGGGGAAGCTACATGCCCAGATTCAAGGGCAGTTCCACACAGGGACTTCATAAGAACTCTTTTGTTCTGAGACCTGAAGTCAGGATGAATTGCAATAGTGTTTCCCAACCTGGGCAATGCTAAGGTATGTGGACTTCACTTCCCATAATTCCATGACTAGTTTGAACATTGCTAAATTTTCTGGGAATTAAATCCCACACCTTTCAAAGTTTTTCAGGTTGAGAAACACTGAGCTAGAAGAAAGGAATCAGATTGCTGGTGGAGAGTCAACTAAGATATAAGAACGACTCCTTGTTACTTTCATTTCATTTTCATTTCATTTTATTAAATTTGTATACCGCCCTACTCCCGAAGGACTCAGGGCGGTAAACAGGCACAAAATAAAACACATAAATACAAAAGTTAAAACATAATTAAAACCCAATTAAATAATTTTTGCCCGAGACAATTTAAAACTCCCAATAATTTAAAATGAATTAAAATTTCAGTTTAAAAATTTAAAAGAAGGGGAGAAAATTAGGTCAGGCCAGCCTGCTGGAATAGGAGTGTCTTCAAAGCACGGCGGAAAGTGCGCAGATCCGGGATCCTCCGTATCTCCGGGGGGAGCTCGTTCCAGATAGTAGGTGCCCCCACAGAGAAGGCCCTCCCGCTAGGGGCCGCCAGTCGACATTGTTACTAATTGATTAATGCTACTTATTGATGTAAAGCCTATGCTTTTAGGAAAAAAATGATGACAATCGGCATCACGGGATGTTCTGCAGGTATTCAGGTGATTGGTATGAAGGGACTTTTTTGAGATTGGATGGCTAAGGTGCCAACCTGAAGATCAAAGAGTGGTTTCCATGGGACCGCTGACCATCCCTGAAAACCACTTGTTATGGAATGTTAATGTTCCAATAAATTGAGGTTGGCTTTGCCTCAGTTTGATTATTGCTCTACTGCTTTTCCCAAAACTATATTCCTGCTTACAGTAATTGGAAAGTGGTACAGTTTAACTTGGACATAGTCAATTTTGAGAGGTGGCTTCAACAAGTTAGTGTGCTAAGGCTCTTGTT